AGGGGGAGTGGGGGGAGTGGGAGGGAAATGGGAGGATGGGAGGAGGTAGAAATTTTAAATAAATAAATAAATAAATTAAAGAAAGAAACCTTAGAGGAGACACACTCTATAATGTAAAATAGAGACAGTGGTCAGATGTGCTAAGCCCACAGTGCACTCTGTGTGAGGTTTGTAAAGAGTATTTCTCTGTTTTCACTTATGTGTACTTGTGTGTCTCTGTATGTGGTGTATGCCTGCGGGTGCCCGGAGTCCAGAAGAGACACTGAACCCCTGGACCTGGAGCTGCAGGCAGTTTGTGCAGCAGCACCAGGGAGGGTGCAGAACTGAACCCAGGTCCTCTGCAAGAACCGTAAGTGCTCTTCACCCCTGAGCCCTCTCTCCAGCCCCTCATCTCTTTTCAATAAAGTGTTATTGCAGCATATTACTTGTACATAGTATTAGGATTGTAAATACACTTTAATACAAGTGTGTCGTGTACCTTGACCATGGTCCCTCCCTCCCCACTTTCCTCCTCTGCTATTTCCCCTTAGACAGTTTCACTCCTATCTGCCCCCACACATATGATTTTTATCTGTATCTAGAAAAACCATATCTTGATAGGAGCATGAGATATAAGACTAATTATTTGTCAAAACTTAATGAATTAAAAACTTAAGACCTCTACACGTGTTATTAATATAATAAAAGTTTCACAAAGTTGCCTAAAACTAGGTCTGGTTTACAAACCATGCAATGAGAAAATGATAATGTTTTAAAGTTTTTCCTGCATTTGCTTTCCTTTGATCTCTGAATATCAGAGACCCGTGAGGTTTGTTCATCAGATTTTGTTGTATAAAGGGAGCTGACCAACCTGTAAGGACCTTCAGCTGAGTGGTGGGGTGAGATTCCCATGTCTGATGACATAGCAAAATCAAAACAAAGCATCAGCCTCACCAGGCTGGCCTCAAAGGTGAAACCTCCTGCTGCAGCTCTCTAAACGTGGAATGGGACAGGTCCCTACAGCTACCACACCTGGCTCTGACGCTAAAGGTTGGGATGGATGACACCAGTGCCAGCATTTTGCTAATTTGTTGGAGGCAGTCAGGACTGTGTGGATTAATATAATTAGTTGTTGGGATTTTTTTTTTAAAAAAATATACTTTAAGGCCTATTTATCATTCCTGTTGGTTTTCAGATTTATGATGTTAACTATGGATTTTTTTTTTTATTTGACTGATATCGATTTCTATCCGGACCCTGAGCCAGGGCTTCAGCTTTCCAAATATTTCTAACATATTTCCATGGAATACATCACAAAGCTTTGTTACACATTTCCTATATGCCACCTTTTGCTGGCTCTGTGGCATGTTGACTTAGCACATTGGCCCCGTTCCTGTGAGTTCCAACATCCTGTTCTTCCGGAGACAAGTGACGCTGCCCACACCTGCTCCTCATTGGCTGAAGAGAAGGCGTCCAGTGCCAGCCGGTTTCACTTCAGCATAACTTCAGCTGAGGCTTTTGGCAATGACCCCGGTTAGCTTCTGTGGTTCACTTCTGCTTCCTTGGTGGGGATGACACACTGGGTGGGGAGTGAGGGGTGGGGAGAGGGATGGGTAGCAGAGGGCCCAGCTACACTGCAAAGTCACTCTGCTGTCCTGACCCTGTCCTCGGAATTAACTCTTTATCACAGAGCAATAATTATCATCACTGTTATAGACAAAATAACAAATGAAAGCATTGTCTCCATATAAGAACAATAAAAATAAACAGAACCCTGAAAAAAATTAAGCAATGTGGTAGTGGGGGAGGCTAATTATTTACAAAATCACTCTAGTCTGAGACTTGTGTTCAGTGTGGGTGTGTGTATGTGACTTTTCATATTGATTCCTAGAAAAACAGCCTCGACTTCATAAAACTTCA